CGCGCGGGCCGCGGCGCTCGAGGACGCGGCCAAGGCCGCGGTGGCGCGCGCGGACGCCGAGGCCCGCGCGGCGGCGCTCGAGGAGGCCCGCGAGGCCGCGGTCGCGCGCGAGCGCGGCGCGGCCGCGGCGCTCGAGGCCGCGCGCGCGCGCTTCGCGGCGGAGGCCGACGAGGCCCGCGCCGAGGCCGGCGCGGAGCGCGCGAAGCGCGAGGCCCTCGAGGCGGAGAAGGACGCCCTCGAGGCCGCGCGGCGCGACGCCGTCGCGGCCGCGGCGCGCGCCGGGGCCGAGAAGGACGCGCTCGCGGCCGAGGCCGCGGCCGCGCGCGAGGCGCTCGAGGCCCGGCGCGAGGCGCCGGCGCCCCTCAAGGCCGCCGCCGCGTCGCCGGACCCGCGGCGCGAGCGGCCGCCCGCCGAGGCGCCCGTGCCCGCCGTCGCCGCGGCGACGCCGCTCCCGCGGGACCGCGGTGCGTTCGAGACGCCCTACGCCGAGCCGCCGTCGGCAAATTCGGCCGCCTACACGCCGGCCTTCGAGCCCGAGGGCACGCCCGCCGCGGGGCCCGCGCCCGCACCCGACGACTGGGAGGAGCTCTTCGACGACGCCGAGGGCCGCGCGTACTACTGGTCCAAGGCCCGCGACGAGTCGCGCTGGGACAAGCCCGCCTGCCTCGTGACGCTCTACTCGGACTGGGAGAAGCACTTCGACGCGGCGTCGCAGCACTACTACTACTACTCCGAGAGCCGCGGCGAGTCGACGTGGGACGCGCCCGAGCCCACGCGGCGGCCCGGCGGCGCGACGCCGACGCCGCGCAAGTGGACGCCCGCGAAGAGCGCCCGGCCGACGCCGTCGCGCAGGCTCCCCTGAGTAAAGGGGACGTCGACTGTCTTGGTCGTTGCCGTCGTCGATGAAGGCAACAAAAAGCTGTTTACTCTCAACCGCCTCGACACGATGGTGGCCCGACGATCCAGCCCCGCCGCCGGGCGATAGGGTCCCCATGGCCGCCGGCGAGGGCGCCGACGTGGAGGGCCTCTGGGCGAAGGCGCTGCAGCTCTCGGAGGGCGGCGAGGTCCACGAGGCGATCCTGCACTTCGAGTGCGCCTCCGCGGAGCTCGAGCGCCAGCTCGCGGCCGCGGCGTCCGTGCCGAACGCGGACCGCGTGCGGTCCCTGCTCGGAGAGCTGCTCGCGAAGCTCGGGTCCGAGGTCGAGCTCCACCTCAACTACCTCCGGGGCAACCACTGGGTGGCCCTCGCCCTCGAGCCGCCGGCGGGCGACGACGCCGTGAAGAAGGCGTACCGGCGGCTCGCGCTGCGCTACCACCCGGACAAGAGCCGCGTGTCGCCGAAGATCTTCACCATCGTCGGCAAGGCCCACGAGGTCCTGCGGCACCCGGAGCGGCGGAAGCGCTACAAGCCGGACAAGTCCGCGACGGCCTGGAAGGTCTACCGGCGGGAGCACGCGGCCGAGTTCCGCGCGCCGACGCGGACGAAGCAGCCCTGGAAGCCGACGCCCGACGGCGCCGCCCGGGAGTACCGCGCGAGCCGCGGCTCCGCGAGCTCGCCGCAGAAGAAGCCCAAGGCGCCCGCCGCGCCCGCGCCGCCGCTGAGCGTCGACCGCGTCCGGGCCATGAAGGTCGGCGAGCTCAAGGAGCGGCTCAAGTTCTTCGGCGTCCCCGCGACGGGCGAGCGGCGCGACCTCGAGGCGGACCTCATCCGCGCGGCGGCGCTCAAGCCGCGGACGCCGCCGTCGGCCGCGGCCGTCGGCGCGGAACTCCGCGCGTCGTCGCCCGCGACGTGCGCGCGGCGCGTCGCGGGCCTCAACGCGGCGACGCTGCGGGAGCTCCTCGAGCGCGCGGGCCGCGCCGAGCCGCCCCGGGCCCGCGGCGCGCTCGAGACGGCCGTCGTCGCCGCGTACGCGGTGTCGCGCGCGCGCGGCGAGCCCGTCTTCCCCCGGTCGCCGGACGCCAAGCGGGCGCCGGACTTTGCCGCGCCCGCCAAGGCCGACCGGCCGTCCTTCGACGAGCGGCCCGCGGCGTCGCCGGAGCCGGCCGCGCCCGCGCCCGCGGAGCCCAAGGCCGACGCGCGCGCGCCCGAGCCGGCCGCGGCGTCCGAGCCCGAGCCCGAGCCCGCGGCGCCACCGCGCGAGCCCCCCTGGGCCGCGGCGCCCGCGGCGCCCTACGACGACGGCGACGCGTCCGACGACTCGGGCCTGCTGCCGGCGGCCGGCGGCTTCGTCGGCAGCCTCCGCGCGCGCGCGCGGAGCGCGTCGTCGGGCCGCCGCGAGCCCGCCGTCGGGCCCGTCCACGTCGCCGCGGCGCGCGAGGGGGGCGGCGACGTCCAGTCCGAGGTCGACTTCTGGGTCCAGGGCGCGCGGACCCACGCGACGCCCCGCCTCGGCGCGCCGTCGCCGCGGCGGACGCCGCGCGAGGCGCCGCCGCCCGAGGCGCCGGACCCGGGCCTCGTGGACCCGGGCGGCGGCTGGTTCTGGGGCTAAACTGCGTCGCTCCTTGTTACACGGCGACGGCGGGCAGGAGCGTCGCCGCGAGGGGCGCGTCGACGAGCGCGCCGAGGCCCGGGCACGTCGCGTGGACGTCGAGGCGCGCGAGCGTCCGCGGCCGGCCCCGGAGGCGCGCGAGGTCGGCGAGCGCGTGGCACTTGACGGCGACCTGGACCGCGACGCAGGCCGCCGCGAAGGCGCCGCGGTCGAGCGCCGCGAAGGCGCCGTAGAGGCCCGCGGCGAGCGCGGCGACGGAGCGCCGCGGGCCGTCGTGGGGCAGCGCGAGGTGGGCCATGACCGCGAAGGCCGTCGCCGTCGCCGCGGAGAGCGCGCGGACGTCGCCCGCGCCCGCGAGGAAGAGCGCGATCCCCGCGGCGCCGCCCGCGGCGAGATGACGAGCGTGCGGAAGAGGTCCGGCGCGAGGCGGTACATGCGGTACCAGACCGCGGCCGACAGCGCGAGCATGAGCGCCGTGCCCCCGTAGAGGAGCGCGCCCGCGAAGCGGCTCCGCACCGCGTCCGCGCCGAAGTCGCCGAGCAGCGGCGCCGCCGCGGGTACGGACGCCGCGGCCGCGTCGACCTCGAGCCGCTCGGCGAAGTCGTAGAGCAGGGGCATGAACCAGTACGTCGCGACGATGAGCGTGAGGAACAGGCCGTGCTGGAACCGCACAAAGGCCATCTCCACGAGGTCCGCCGTCGCCTCGCGCCAGCAAAACGCCTCGCACAGCCAGAGCGCGGCGGCCGCCGCGCGCCAGGCGGCGCGCCGCGCCGCGGCGCCGAGCGACGCGAAGCCGACGAGCGCCGCCGTCGCGACGGCGACCTGGACGAACGCCGCGGGCTGGCGCCGCTGGCGCCGCGAGGCGCACGTCGCCGACGCGTAGACGAGGCCGCACGCGAGGCACGGCGCCCGCAGCGGCTCGCCGACGGCGGCCCAGGTCGACGCGAGCAGCGCGGCGCTCACCTGCACGGCGACGGTCGTCCGCGCGCCGTCGCTCCACTGCAGCTCGTCGAGGTCGTCCTCCACGAGGCGCAGCCGCTCCGGCGCGTCGGGCGCGCGCACGCCGGCCTCCGGGTCCGGCGCGGCGCGCGGGTTCATTCGGTGCGATGCTTTCACGCGTGCGGTTGTCAATGCACGCAATTAGGTGCGATGCTTTCACGCGTGCGGTTGTCAAATCACGCAATACCGCAGCTCATGCCCTAAGGAGCCCAGCTAAAGTTTCGGCAACGTTGGCGACCATGTTGATGCTGAATCGTGTAGCGGACCCGAGTGCGATGGAGCTTTGATGATGGAACGCCGCACCAGTTGATAGTTTGCGGCGTCGTAGCGCGCGACTGGTTTTCGCGTTGGCGCGTCCGCCGCGAAACACGCTGCGGCGCCGTCCGCGCCGGCGGCCATGGCAATAACCACCGCCGTCACCAACCGCATAGCCGTCGCGGCCCGCGCCGAGGAGTCGGCGCAGCAGCGGCGCGGGGTGCGCTTCGAGGGCGAGGGGAGCGAGCGGAGCCTGCGGTCGGGGAGCCCGGGCCGGCCGACGTTCAGCCCGGGCCGGCTGTCGATGCTGAGCCCGGGCAGCGCGCGGCGTTTGAGCCTCGCGCGGCAGTTCACGCGGACGACGTTGGTCATGCCGAGCCCGTTCCAGATCGCCGCGGCGACGATGCTCACGCGCGTGCGGCGCACGCGGAGCGCGGGCGGGAGCTCCTTCGCCATCATCGACCCCATGTCGCCGCGGCTCCAGGCGTTCGAGGCCTTCTGCCTCGTCATGACGATGATCACGGCGTTCACGACGCCGTTCGAGATGGCCTTCGTGCCCGCGCTGCGGCCGCCCCTCAAGTCCAACGGCTTCTTCCTCACGAACCGGTGCCTCGACGCCGTCTTCTTCGTCGACTTCTGGCTCCGCTTCCTCTGCGTGCCCTACCGGAGCGGGACGCGCGCGAACCACTTCGTCAAGGAGCGGCGGCTCATCGCGCGGCACTACGCGCGGACCTGGATGCTGCCGGACCTGATCGCCCTCGTGCCCTTCGACCTGCTGACCTACGAGCCCTTCAACATCCACCTGTCGTCCGTCGTCGTGACCGCGCTGCGGCTGCTGCGGCTCGTGCGCATGCTTAAATTGGGCCGCGTCGTCACGCTCGTGGAGCGCTGGTCCGAGGCGTCGAGCGTGCCCTACGCCTACATCGAGATCTGCAAGCTCATGAGCTTCATCTTCATGACCGTGCACTGGGTCGCGTGCGCGTGGGGCCTGCTGGGCGAGCTCGAGGCGGGCGACCACTTCTCGTGGGTCGACGCGCTCCGGAGCGGCATGGCGTCGACCTGCGAGTCGCAGGACGCCCACGACGCCATCCTCGTCTATCTGCAGAGCCACCAGGGCACGCCCCAGGCCACCTACCTCGCGGACAAGATCAGCGTCACGAAGGAGAGCTACAGGGACTCCTTCCACCGGCCGTCGTGCGAGAAATTCGACACGCGGCGGTCCAAGTACGTCGTCTCGCTCTACTTCGCCGTCTACACGCTCACGGGCATCGGCTACGGCGACGTCAACGCCGTGACGCGCGCGGAGTACTGCCTCGCGACGGCGTGCGTCATGTCGACGGCGATCCTGTGGGCGTTCCTCATCGGCAACTTCTGCGCCATCGTCGCGTCCATGGACAAGCACCCGGCGCGCTTCCGGGGCGCCATGGACGACCTCAACTCCATGCTCAGCGAGAGCGATTTGGACCCGGAGCTCTGCGTCCGCGTCCGCGACTACTTCTCGCACTCGCGGAATCTGATGCGGACGCGCGACTACCACGAGCTCGACGCGCTCATGAGCGCGGGGTTGCGGGGCGAGGTCGCCGGCGTCGTGTCGGAGACGTGGCTCGAGAAGGTCTGGTACTTCCGGAACTCGTCGAAGGCGTTCATGCGCGAGCTGTCCATGCTCATGGGCCCGCTCATGTTCGCGCCCTTCGAGACCGTGGACGCGGGCGCGTCGCTCCTCATCATCCAGCGGGGTTTGGTCATGCTCGGCGGCCGCATGCTCACGCGGGGCGACCACGTGGGCCACGAGTTCATCGTCGTCCGCGACGAGGAGCGCGTCGCGTTAGACGCGGAGCGCGGCGTCGTCGACAGCCGCGTGTCGCCGAGCGCGTTCACCTACGTCGAGGTGCTCGAGCTGCGCCAGGAGGACCTGCTCGCGCTCTTCCCGCTCTTCCCGGAGGAGGCCGCGCGCGTCACGACCGCGTCCCGCTGGCTCGTGATGAAGATCGCGCTCCTGAAGTGGGCCAAGGCGAAGCTCGCGCGCGAGCGCGCCGACGCGCAGCGCGCGCCCGGGACCGCGCCCGCCGGCGGCGCCGCGGCGCCCGCGGCGGTCGCGGCGGTCGCGCGCGAGGGGCGGTCGCCGGGCCGGCCGCGGCCGGCGGGGGGCGGCGACGCGCCACCGAACGCCTTCGTGGACCAGCACCTCCAGAACCGGTCCAAGGTCGGCCGGGCCCTCGTCGCGTCCAACTCCATGTCGCGGGGCACGCTCCTCAACGGCCTCGTCGTCTCGCCGACGAACCGCCTCACGTTCCGCCAGACGGCGGTGCTCTCCGACGGCGTCTTCGGCGGCTCCCGGCCCTCGCCGGGCGCGTCGACCGCGGCGTCGTCCGCGGGGCGCGGACCGCGGGCCGGCGACGGCGGCGCCGCGCGGCTCCGGTCCCGCGTCGCGCGGCTCCGCGAGGCCGCGCTCGACGCGAACCGCGAGATCGAGCAGCTCGCGCGGCTCCTCGCCGACGACGACGAGCCCCGGCCCCGGGGCGACTCCGACCCCGTCGAGACGGTCCTGCTGGCGAGGTAACGACCCGGGGCGGCGGAGGAGCAATGGGCCGCGCGGAGGGGGAAGGGGCCGCGCGCGCGGGTTGTCCGAACGCGGCAACGCCGCAGCACATTGCATGCAAGATTCCGGCCGCGTGGGCAATGGGGGCCGTGAGATTTGCAAGGTGCGCCCGCTTGGCAATGGCAAGGCCGTGAGCCTTGCTAGGTGCACACTGGCATGCGACCGCTCCTGCGGCTCGCGCTCTGGTCGCGCGTCGCGCGCGGCATCTGGCCGACGCCGCGGGCCTGGAGCACGCCGGCGGACGCGGGCGTCCGGCGGCTCCCGGAGGCCGGCCTGCCGGCGCTGACGATCGACGGCTGCGAGGAACCGTGGTGCGGCCGCATCGCCGCCGCCTACGACCGCCTCGCGCCGCCGCGGCTCGCGCCAGGCACGCCGCCGCACGCGCGGCCGCCCGCGGCGGTCGCCGCCGAGGCCGCCGCGTTCGGCGCGCCGCGCGAGCGCGCGGCCGCGGCGCTCGGCGTCGGGCCGTCGTGGTACGAGGACGACGTCGCGCTCGCCGGCCGCCGGGACGCGGGCGCGATCGCGCGCGTCGTGGTCTCCGTCGGCGGCGGCGCCGGCGACGAGTCCTACGCGCTGCGGCTCGCCGAGGGCGACGACGTCGTGCGCGCGTCCGCGGCCGTGTGCGAATCAAATCTTCAATACGACTTCAATGTGAGCGTATGCGACGGCTTTGACGCGAGTTCTTCGGCTGTGCTTCGAGAACTCGACGAGCGTTGGTCGGGACGTCCCAAACCAGTGGTTGATTCGCACACAGGTCCGCGGCGGCGCCCGAGGGCGCGCTCCGCGCGCTCGCGTCCCTGGGCCAGCTCTGGCGCTGGGACGGCGCGCGCCACGCGCTCCCGTCGGCGTTCGACGTCGAGGACGCGCCGCGCCACGCGTGGCGGGGCCTGCTCCTCGACACGTCGCGCCACTTCTGGCCCCTCGCGCGCGTCCACCGCGCGCTCGACGCCATGGAGGCGCTGAAGCTCAACGTGCTCCACTGGCACGTCGTCGACTCGCAGTCGTGGCCCTGGGCGGCGAACGCGACGGCGCCGCGCCCCTACTGCGGCGCCTGCGTCTACACGAGCGCCGACGTCGCGGCCGTCGCCGCGGCCGCGCGGGACCGGGGCATCGCGGTCGTGCCGGAGCTCGACGCGCCGGGCCACGGCGGCGCGGCGCCGGCCGCGGCGACCTGCCCGGAGCTCGCGGCGACGGACCGCGGCGCGGTCGCGCGCGGCCGGGGCCCGGGCGGCCGCGACGGCGGCGCCGGGAGCACGGAGCACGGCCTCGACGCCGTCGCCTGGGGCGCCGCCGGCGCCGCCGGGGTGGACGACGCCGCGCGCGCGCTCTCCGCGCTCGTCGGGGAGCTCGCGGCCGCGGCGGGCGCGGCGCACGTCCACGTCGGCGGCGACGAGGTCGACGCCGGCTGCTGGGCCGAGGACGCGGCGCGCCGCGGCGCGGCGCCGGACGCGGGCTTCGAGGCGGCGGCGGACTGGGCCCGCGCGCGCGAGGCCGCGCTGCTCCGCGCGTCCGCGGACGCCGCGCGCGCCGCGGGCGCGACGCCCGTGTTCTGGGACGACGCGCTCGACGCCGGCGACCCCGCGACGCTCGCGGGCGGCCTCGTGCAGATCTGGCGCGGCTGGCTCGGCGTGCCCGGCCTCCTCGCCTACGCGAGCACCCTCGGGCTCGCGGGCGCCATCGTCTCCGACGGCATGTACCTCGACTACGACCACGAGGGCTGGGACCAGGTCCTGCGGCGCGGCCGGCTCCCGGACCACGCGCTCGTCGTCGGCGGCGAGGCGTGCTCCTGGGGCGAGCACAACGAGCGCCTCGACGCGCGGCTCGTGAAGCTCGCCGCGGCGGCCGAGCGGCTCTGGGGCGGCGCCGCGGCGGACGCGGCCCGCGCGGGCGACCTCGTCGGCCCGCGGCTCCGCCTCTCGGCGCTGCGCTGCCACCTCCTGCGGCGCGGCCACGACGCTACGCCGCCCGTGCTCCCGGACCTCTGCCTCGCGGGGCCGCCGCGCGGGCCCGCCGACGCCCCGCCGCCGGCGTCGAGGGCGCCCGCGGTCGTCACGATCGCCGCGCCCTGGTACCGCTCCCGCGCCGCCGCGAGACTCGAGGACGCGGCGCTGGCCGCCGCCGTCGCCTTCATCGTCGCGTCCCGCGTGCGGAGGCGGAGGCCGAATAAGGAGGATTGAGAGCTAAGTCTCGCGTCCTCATTGAAGTCACTGTTGCAGGAAGCCTGGCTCACCGTCACCTTGACCTTTTTCTAGCGTGTTAGCATGGAACACACCCACATGTAAACGGTGCCCTGACCGGCTGGGCCTGCGGTTCCCAGCCCTCTGGCTGGGCGCGCTGCGCCTGGCTGTGAGATTTCAACAATGCTCGACGCCGTCTGTCCACTGCTCAGCTCCGACAGAGCGGGCCCGCTTCTTCCGCACGCCGCACACCGTCTCTTCTAGCATTAGGCGACCCACCCCGCCTACACGCCTACCCTGGGCGGGCACTGGGGGGGGGATTAAAGCCGCACCGGGCCCCGGACCGTCTTCGAGCGCTCCTCCGCTCCTCTGAGTCCTCTCCTCTCGCGCTCCGCCGCCCGATCCGCTCGTTCGCTCCTCGACCCGTCTCCGCACCCCAAAAAATACTAGCGAGCGACCTCGTCGCACACCAGCAACAAGCAACCTCACAAGCATGAGCATCATCCTCGCGCTCGCGCTCTTCGCTCCCGCCGACGCGGCGTCGCTCCGAGGGAGACGCCGCCTCGCGGACAACCTCGACCTGCCCAAGCTACACGAAGCGGGCAAGCAGGGCCACATCGGCTCGAAGATCAACTTCAAGCTCGACAAGGCCCACGAGACCGAGTGCTCCTGCCCGTACCAGTACGACGGCATGTGCGACGTCGCCGCGGGCTACTGCGGCTGCGACCCGCACGACTGCTCGTCGCTCGGGTCGATCTTCGGCTGCGAGGCGTGCGTCGATGCGGGCGGCGTCTTCTGCGCCAAGGACGCGCTCTGCGCGGAGCCGGGCGAGGCGCCGAGCCTCGAGGAGCTTCAGACGTTCGTGACGACGGCGACGTGCGACGCGGCCGACTACTCCACCGACTGCCCCGCGCGCCCGCTCCCGGACCCGGCGTACGACGCCATCGCCTGGTACATGAAGGCCATCAACGTCGAGGAGGCCTGGGCCTCGAACGTCACGGGCGCCGGCGTCACGGTCATGATCGCCGACGACGGCGTCGACGCGTCGCACCCGGACCTCGCCAAGCTGAGCGTCGCGGACTCGTGCGACCACTACCTCCCGGCGAGCGAGTTCGACACGCACGGCACGCAGTGCGCGGCGCTCGCCGTCGGATCGTCGAACGACCACTGCGGCGTCGGCGTCGCCCACGGCGCGTCGCTCGCGTCGTGCAAGATCTACGGCTGGGGCGACACTGAGGACGAACTCTACGCGGGCTTTGCCAAGGGCGACGTGATCTCGAACTCCTGGAACTATCCCGACTCGTGCATTGTCGAATCGGACTACGGCTACTACTACTACTACTACGACTACGACTACGACTACTACTACCACGACTACGAAAACGACGACGACTACTACTACGACGCCCGCCGCCTCGATGACGCCTGCCCCTTCATCTCCGACGTCTACGACACGCCGTGCGCGGACGCCGCGTGCGCGGACGCCGACTTCTCGCACGCGGGGACGCTGGACGAGGCCTGCAAGTCGGTCGTCGCCGCCTACTGCTCGAACTCGCTCAAGTTCGAGACCGACCGCGACGCGTGCCTCGACCTCGACCGCTACTACGTGGTCTGCGGCCACAACCAGATCCCCAAAGGGGGCTTCGACGCGATGAAGGCGGGCATCACCGACGGCCGCGGCGGCAAGGGCATCGTCTACGTCTTCGCCGCCGGGAACGAGTACACCGGCGGCGGGAACACGAACTTCGAGGGCTACCTACACAGCCGCTACACGATCACTGTCGGCGCCGTCGGCATGGATGTGCTCCACGCGTCCTACTCGTCCACGGGCGCGTCCGTCTTCGTCTCCGCGCCCGGCGGCGACTCCGGCGACGTCCTCGGCATGGTCACGGCGTTCCCCGTCGCCACGGGCACGAGCTGCCGCAACGCGGGGTCCGGCACGTCCTTCGCGACGCCCATCGTCAGCGGCGTCGCCGCGCTCATGCTCGAGGCGAACCCAAACCTGGGCTGGCGCGACGTCCAGGGCATCATCGCTACTACCTCCAAACTCCCGGACGACGACGGCGACCTGCCGCGGTCCGTCAACGCCGCGGGCATCGGCCACAGCTACCAGTACGGCTTCGGCATCATCGACGCGGGCGCCGCCGTCGCCGCGGCGCGGACCTGGCAGAACTACTACACCGAGACCGTACTCACGGCGATGGCGTCGCCCGGCGCGGCCATCGCCGACGACGGCGCCGCCGTCAGTTCGACGATCTCGGCCGCGGCCGACGCCGACTTCGAGGTCGAGACCGTCGTCGTCGTGCTCACGATCGACCACCCGCATCGCGGCGACCTGAGGATCATCCTCGAGCGCGACGGCGTCGAGTCGCTCCTCGCGCCGGAGTCCGACGAGGACGGCGACGGCTACGCCGACTGGAAGTACACGACCGTCCGCCACTGGGGCGAATCCGCGAACGGCGGCGGCGGCTGGACGCTCAAGGTCGCCGACGTGCGCGCGAGGAAGGGGCCTGGCACCGGGACCTTCGTCTCCTGGACCCTCCAGGTCCACGGCCACGCCTTTATCGAACCCACCCCCCGGAGCACGGCCGCGCCGACGACGGTCTACGCGCCTGACGGCGACGAGCTCTATGAGCCAGCGACGACCGCGCCTACGGCCGCGCCGACGCCGCTGCCCGGCCCGACGCTCGCGCCCGTGACGCCGCCGCCGTCGGCCGATCCCACGGGGACGGCCGTGCCGACGGCCGCTCCGAAGGCCGCGCCGACGACGACGACCACGGTCGCCACGACCACGGTCGCCACGACCACGGCCGCGACGCCGACCACCACGGCCACCACAACCACGGCCACCACGACCACGGTCGCCACGACCACGCCCGACCCGCCGACCGCCGCGCCCATGGCCGAGCCCTCGGCCAAGCCCTCGCCCGCGCCCACGGCCAAGCCGACGGCCGGCCCCACGGCCAAGCCCTCGCCCGCGCCCACGGCCAAGCCGACGGCCGGCCCCACGGCCAAGCCCTCGCCCGCGCCCACGGCCAAGCCGACGGCCGGCCCCACGGCCGAGCCCTCGCCGGCGCCCGTCGGCGACACCGGCGAGTTCGGCCAAGGTGGCGGTGATTTCACGGAAGGCAGCGCCGGCACGTGCGCCGACAACACGAAGAAGAACTCGTGCAAGGCCGCGGGCTGCACGTGGGATGGAAAGTCCTTCCCTAAATGCCAGCCCGGCGGGTCCGGCGGCGCGGGCGAGGATGAGGCCGAGGGCGAGGATGAGGCCGAGGCCGTCAAAGCCCCGAAGTGCAAGAAACTCAGGAGGGATGAATGCAAGTCGAAGGCGAACAAGAAGATGTGCAAGTGGAAGAACGGCAAGTGCAGGGACAAGCCGTCCAAATCGGAGTCCGCCGGCGGGACGTGCTCTGAACACACGAAACGCAGCAAATGCAAGAATGCGGGCTGCACGTGGGCCAAGGACTCTTCTCCTAAGTGCCAGCGCGATTCGACGGCCGAGGCCGTCAAAGCCCCGAAGTGCAAGCAACTCAAGACTGAGGATGAGTGCAAGGCGAACAAGAAGACGTGCAAGTGGAAGAACGACAAGTGCAAGGACAAGTGCAAGACACTCAAGACTGAGGATGAGTGCAAGGCGAACAAGAAGACGTGCAAGTGGACGCACGACAAGTGCAAGGACAAGCCGTCCCAGAAGTAGACCCCCGCCGCGGACGCGCGCGCGCGCTCCGTCGACGGCGCGAGGCTACCGACCACGGCGATGACAAGCATCGCCGGCACGACCCCCGCGCTACGAGCGCCGCCTACCTAGCCGCGTGCAAGCAATTTTAGAGGGTCATAAAGTCACTTATGCGATATCTCCTAGCCCTGCGAAGACTCTTCTAGGAGTAGGCCTCCTGAGTACTCTCGTGGTCGCCGGGCGCTGGGAGAGGGTCGCGTTCGCGTGCCCCGCTCTCGGCCATCCCTCGACATGTCGCCGCGGTCTCCGCGCGCGCGCGCCTCACACGGTTACCGGACACCGGTATGATGGGCGAACCTGGCTACCGTTTCTTACCCTTGCCCTCGGCGAGCGTCGCGGCGAGGAGCGCGCCGTCGTCCTTCTTCTTCTTCGGCGGTGCTTTCTTCGGTGGCGGTTTCGGGGGCGCGTCGCCCTTGCCGCGGCCCTTGCCCCTGCCGCCCCGGCCGCGGCCGCCCTTGCCGCCGCCGCGGCCGGCCGGCTTCTCCAGGAAGTGCTTGCGGAAGCGCACGGCCGCGCCGCCGCGGAGCGGGACGGAGGCGACGAGCGCGTCGAGCGCGCGCTCTCCGCGCGGCCGGTCGCCGTCGATCTCGGCGGCGACGGCGCGGAGCGCCGCGTCGTCGACGCCCGCGGCCGCGCAGGCCTCGGCGTAGTGGCCGAGGTCGAGCGCGGCGAGCGCGGCCGCGAGGCCGGCGGCGGCGGCGCGCGACGCGGCGCCGCCCCGCGCGGCGGCCTTTTCGTCGGCCGCGGCCATGCGTTTCGCGCGCGCGAGCGCGTCGCTCCGCGCGGCCGCCGCCGCGTCCGTCTCGGTCGCCGCGGCGGCGGCCGCGGCGGCCGCGGCGTCCCGCGGCGGCGGCGCGGCGGCGGCGGCCGAGGCCGCGCGGTCGCCCGCGCGGAGCGCCGCGTCGCGCGGCTCGGGCGCGCGGTCGAGGTCGCGGATCGGCGCGGCGGCGGCCGCGGCGCGCGTCGCCGTGGCCGCGGCGGGCACCGTCGGCCGCTCGCGCGTCGCCGGGAGGCCGAGCGCCGCGTCCGTCGCGCCAGGCCCAGCCCGCGGGCAGGCCGCTCCAGGGCGGCCGCGCGGCCGCGTCGAGGTCCGCGAGCAGCGCGCGGAGCGGGCCGTCGCGCGCGCCCCGGCGCGGGAGCGCCGCGTCGACGGCCCTCGCGAGCGCCGCGACGCGGTCGCGCGTGCCGTCGTCCGCCGCGCGCGCGCAGGGCCCGTCGCCGGCCGCCAGGAGCGCCGCGAGCGGATGCGCCGTCCCGACGTCGAGGGCCGCGAGGCGCCGCGTCCGCAGGACGCCGAACGCGGCCAGGAGCGCGCGCGGCTTCGGCGGTCCTCGCGAGGCGAAGCCGCTCGCGCCGTGCGCGCGCAGGGCGAACGCGTTGCCCGCGCGGTCCGCGCCGACGAGCGCCGCGCCCCCGGCGCGGAGGAGCGTCGGCCGGCCGAGGGCCAGGGCCAGCGCGACGAGCGCGCCGTCGTCGCCGCGCGGCGCGCGCGCCGCGGCCCCGCGCGCGTCCCTCGCCGCGCGCGCGAGGTCCGCCGCGTCGCGCTCGACGTCGCGCGCGTCCCAGCGGCCCTCGCGCGCGGCGCGGACCGCCGCGAGGAGGTCCGAGCCCGCGTCGAGCGCCGCGCGCGCCGCGGCCGCGGCCGCGCGGTCGCTCCCGAACGGGTCGCGCGCGGCGTCGAGCGCGGCGACGGCGAC